CTCTTAGGAACAGGAAACCAGAGGAGATGGCTCTATTTGCTGCATCAACTGGCCTACAAACCTCTTAACACAGAAAACCTCCAAACAAAACTTTTGTTTCCTCACAAAAGATTTAAAGTCTACCTATGTATATACCCAGAAGATGTGAAGGCAAGAATGCAGACAGAAACCTGTAAGTCAAAGTTCATTGCAGTACTTTTTACAGTCACCAAAAAGTGGAAATGGAAATATTCATCAAGAGATGAATGAATAAACAAAATGTGGTATATACAAACAATGATGGAATATTATTCATCCATAAAGAGAAATGAAGTTCTGATGCCTGTCACAACAAGAATGAAAGTTGAAAACATTATACTGAGTGAAATAAGTCAATGGTAAAAGGAAAACTAACATATGATATTACGTATATAAAATAAGCAAATATATAAAAAATCAAGGATTATTCATGATTACTAGGACTAGAAGGGATGGGGAAAGGAAGAGGGTTTTTAGATGCGTTGAGTTTATGTTAATGGTGGTAGAATTATTTGGAAAGAATAGCAATAATGTTGACACAACGTGAGTATGTAATCAATGTCATTCAAATGGCAAACATGGAAATTGTATTGGTGAATATTTTGGTGTGTATATTTTTACCACAATTAAAATAGACTAATAAAAGTACAGTCTATAGGAATGGAATCATTTATTTGTCAGGCAGGAGCCCACTATCCTTGGCAAAAAGGTTTTGGGATCTAAAACTCAACTGAGTTTTTTAGATCTAAAACTCAATTGCAATAGTTGTGCAATGCAAGAAAGTAGAGATGATTTGCTCGAGTCCTTGTACTAAACCTAGCTCCACACCTGATTGTGTGTACGTGTCATGATCCTGAAGACCACCCTCAGATTTGATGATTCACTAAAAGGATTCACAGGACCCCAAAAGTTTGTACACCCATGATTATGATATATTACAGTGAGAGGATATAGCTTAAAATCAATCAAAGAAAAAAGCAGATAGGATGGATTTCATGAAAAACCAGATGTAAGCGTCCAGTTGTACTCTCCAGCAGAATCATGTGAACAACACTTAATTCTCCCAGCAGTGATATTTAACAATACATGTGAAATGAAGTGTTTTCAACCAGAGAAGTATACCTGAACCTTGGTGTCTAGAGTTTTACTGGAGGTTAGTGACAAGGCATGCATGACTGACCTTAGTTACTCAGTGTCCAGCCCCACAGAGGTCAAACTGATACTGCACAGCCCAAGGTCTCAGGCATGCAAAGACATTCTTATTAGGAACAATACTCCAAGGACTCAAAGGCTATGACCCAGGAGGAGTCAAGGACCAAGCTTGAAGACCTTTGGAATGTATGTGTCTTGGGCAACTCAAGCCTGCTGAGTTAACCCTTTACTGCACAGTATAGAAGACCCTGGGTACATCATTTCCCAATAGTAGTTTTCCATGACTTTTATGAGACAAATGCAAATTTCTCAGGCTGGCATTTGATTTTCCTATAAGCTGGTTCCACATGACTCACCTAGTCTTATTTTCAACTATTTCCCCATACACACCCTCCACTTGGCCCAGTTCAGTCCCTTTGCTCTTACCAGAAACACATAGCTGACACTTTACCTTTTATTGTTACCTACATTTTTTACCATATAAGTTGTCATCCTAGCTAGAGTGGGAGGCAGTATAAGGATTGGAACTATGTCTTATACCTTTTAGTATCCCAGAGGCTTGCAGAGTTCTGTACATTAGTAGCTACCCAATAAATATTTATTATTATGCCAATGGCCCTTGCTCAGGTTGTTCTCTGACTTAGGATATCTTTCCACCTATTTCATTTATCATCCCAATCCTTGTTGCTGTTAAGCATCATGGAGTTGGTTCTGACTCACAACCCTGTATAGGGTTTCTGAGGAGTGACTGTTGAGTTTGAACTTCCACCCTTGTGGTTAGCTGTACAGTGCCACACCAGGACTCCTAGTCTTCTATTAATATCCAAATTAAGTCCTACTTTCTCAAGAGATCTTTTCCTGCTATTCTGGCCTTTACTGAGGAATTTCTTTTTTTAATTCCTGACACACTTACTGTCTATATAATCCATTGTGACTTTTTATTGTTTTCATCCTTGAAATGTCACTTAATGTGACTAAGGTTTGTCTTCTAACTAGACTCTAAGCTCCTGGAGAAGAAGGACTGGGCTGTACCTGTCGTTTGCATTCTCTTCAGTGCCCAACTTAGGACCTTACCATAATAGGTTCTCAATAAATATGAAATGGTCAATATAGGCAAACACTCCTTTTCTGGGCCTTTTTGTTTCTTTTTCTAAAGCCAGGCTATGCTCCATAAAAAGATGCAGTGTGATTTTTTTTTAACATAACAATGAATAATTATCACAGAATTTCACCAAAGTTTTTATTCCAATAAGCAGTCATTTACATCTGAAGGTATTTCTTTGAGTCCATTGTGAAGAGGACAGCCTCATTGATGCTCTGGGTGATATAATCTATGTTGTTGGCATTGACAGAGGTGAAGTTAATCCAACCATTCCTGGGAATGTAGATATGCTTCTTCTTGACCAGGTATTCCAGCTGCTGGGCTGGTGATTATTACAGAGCTTCAGAGATTGGAGTTACCTCTCAACTTCCCTTATGAATCTTTGGTTCATGATGAGGGGCAGGAAGTGTGAACATTTCTGGGGATAGGGGACTCCAGAGAATCTTTAAACCACGCCCACTTTCTTTGGAAAAGAATCAAAATTTGGAGTAAAGCTAGGGACTGGGCACCTAGTCAGTGAAGTTTAATACTCAAAGACTGGCCCAAGGTTGGAAAGTGAGGAGCCACTCCTTCTTAGACACTTACAGTTGAGTCCCAGATAGCTATGGGTCCCCTTCTGGTCGGTGATATGATCCCAGGAGCCAGGGGTTCCCAGGAGTCGGAGCTTCTCCTTTACCTTTTCCTTGATCAGCATGATGTTCTCTACAACCCTTTTTACACTGTGCTTCCTGCCGAAGAAGGTCAGCAAGAAATGAGGCATGAGATCTTCCTCTGCTCTCAGATATCCTTGTGGTCATCCCATTCTTTCTGCCTTCAAAAGCCCCCCACAGAGTAACTGAGGGCACCCCAGTTAAACCAGGACCCTGGGTGGTTAGGAATGGGGGAGGGAGGGAGAGGGTGTGTATGGTTAATGTATATCAGTTGAAGCAAGCCAAGTAGGCTCCTAAATAGTTTTTGCTAGAGCAGCAAGCCTCTGAGACTCCATAATCTTCTCCTGCAATCTGAAAGAGTTAAAGCAACTCCACTTGTTTGTATCCAAAAAGAATGTCTTGTTGCCCATTTCCCCAAGGTAGAATAACCCCTGTTCAGTGTTGTTGCTGTTGTTAGTTGCTGTGAAGTCAATTCTGACTCATGGTCACCCCATGTGTGTCAGAGTAGAACTGCTCCATAGAATTTTGAAGACAGATCATTAAGCTTGCTTCCAAGGTCCTTATGAGTGAGTTTGAACCACAAACCTTTCTGCTAGTAGTTGAATGTGCCACTCAGGGACTCCTCAGTATATAGTATATAGTTGATGAATGAATGCAGTAAAGAGGTTATGTGGGCAGGAAGAGAAGCGCCCAGCTCAACCCCAGAATCAGTAGGAGCATGGGCATCCAGAGGCTCTGCTCATTCCTTTCTATCCCCACCCTTTAGCCTTACCATTCTCCTTGTAGAGAAGGGTTACTGAGAATCGAGGTGATAATGCGGGCACCCATAGTAGGAGGGCTAAGCCACAGATCATGGGCGAAGTTAATCATCTGGGAGAGGACGCACAGCAGATGCTGGTTGCTGTGTGTCACCACGACTAGGAGTCCCACTCCTTCATCTGCAACATTGGAACAGTCATCCTTATTCCTCAGTCTCCGCCTCCATTACCAGGGCCTACCTGCGTCAGGGCTCTTCCTTCTACCTTGCAGAAAGTTGAACGCTGTTGGAGAGCTATTCTTCCAGAAAAGTAACCATCAGCAATCATCTTAAAGATGGAATGGACTTGAAAGATCACTAAATCCCACTCCCTCATCTTATGATTGTGGAAACAGTGGCCTATCAGAACAATATGATTTAACTACAGTTCTGCTTTAGTAACTGAGCTAAGACAATATTATAGCATCCAACTTCTAGCTTGACACTTGTCCCTTCAGCCTCTGGGGTTGTCTTTCTGGAGTCCTTGGCTCTTTCCAGAGTAAAAGATATCAAAAACATCTTTTGTGCCATGGGTATGCACCATTTCAGCCCCAGTCCCACCCTTTTCCTTTCCATACCATACCATAAATGCCAAAATTCTTGGATAAGGACTGGCTGCAGAAAAACTCAAAGCCTTGAGCCACAAAGTATCGTAAGATTCTACTATCCTCACACAGGTCACCGGAGGACAATCCTTGGCTGGTAATGTCAAAAAATGGGAAAATCTGTTTGCTCTGTCGGAGAAAGGAGTAACATTCTAAATGGGATGAGAAAAGGATGCTAGTGGTGGAGATGGTGTATGATGAGAGGGAGGAAATAAAGATGAGAGTTTGGGCTCACCTTCATGATGGACATCAAGTTTGTCCACTGACACTGGGTCAGCTTGCAGTCTGTAATGTTCCCGATTACAAGGATACTGCCACACGGGGCCTGCTGCAGGTAGAGACAGTCTCGTTATGTACTTCCACTACCAAGTGACACAAGGGCATTGGGAGGGAACGCATTCCCCACATTGGTGTCTACTAAAGGGTTAGGCTAATCCAAGCCTTAAAAAGGATTTTGATGGTAAGAGGGATAAAGATGTGGACAAGAAATTACCATGAAATAGGAGTAAGGAGAAGTTTCTAAGCAGATCCTCTATACCTTCACCACATTGATGACTGTATCAGGGTCCATGCACATCTGTGTGGGGTCCCAGAAGCTATATTCATAAACTGTAAAGCCCATGTCCTGGAAGATGAGTCCATGCAGTTCTGTGGGAACACAGTCCCCCATTAGCTGGTACCCGAGAAATTGAGAGAAGGGAGACAGAATAGGCCTGCATGTCACAGTTGAAGTGAGATCATCACAGGAAAAAGACAAGCATGTCTTGTCCACCATTTTTCTTGTGATAGAGTAAGAAACATAAGAATGAATATTGTAAATGAGTTAGGAATCAGGGCCAGGAGGGCAGGGATCTTCTGACATCCTCATCTTGAGTAACCCTCACCTTTTTGGAAAGAGGTGATATAAACTATTTGAGAATCCTGATGCCAAGTTTTGAGGAAACGAGCCCCAAGCTGAAAGGCACCATTGTCACCGACAGAGTGCACGCCCCCTACCTGCAAGCAAAAAATATACAGAAATAAAGCTTTGAAAAGAGTAATAAGAAAGACAAACCGAAAGATGATGGTCCCTTAAGGATGAACCTACAAGCCAGGAATCACTGGCTGTCACAAGGAACTAGGAGAGAGTCATGGAAAATTCTCTCTCAGAGCTCTCAGAAGGAATCAACACAGCCAATACCTTAATTTCAAATGCCTAACCTCTAGAACTATACAGTGGGGAAATTGTCCTAAAATTCATCTGTTTCTTCATTCATTCAACAAATTGTTAGCATTGGAGACCTAGGAGAGATCTTAACCTGGATGCTATGCCAATGTAACTTAGAAAATTTCTAACATTATCATCTGAAAAATTATGTATTCATTTCCCAGAAACTGTATCTTTGTTTTATAAAGTTATATTGAGGTATAATGAACATACAATAAACTGTTCTGGAAAATAAAGACACATACTTAAAATGCAAAAAAAAAGTAATAATAATAGTACAGTAAAACCTGTTAAGGCCAAAACCTGTCAGAGAAAGAAAACTCAAACATTTTCCATTAACAAAACTGCGGTAAGCTGCATCCTGTCAAAGTTAGAAAACTTGCAAGATCCAGAAAAACATGCAGTCTCTCACAGGTTTCACTGTAATAACTGGAGCACCTAAGTTTCATGTCATTCCTTCTTTAGAGTGCACAGAGCCCTGGACTTGGGTTCTGATCCCAGCTCTGCTCTTCAATAGCTACAAACTGTGGACTCTGAATCTCAGATGTTTTCTTTACCATCCAATATCCCTTTCAGGTTTAAGCTGGAACAACCCCAGATTTCCATTCCCTGTGGTCTGGGTCAGTAAGAGGAGAGTCCTTCTTCTCACCCTGTTCTCCACAATGGCTTGGCTGTGCTTTCCAAAGAGCAATTCCAAGGCAGCTTGGATGAATGACTTCATGCCCATCACGTCAGTATACTCATAGTTCAGGGACGAATCCTGTGCAATCTGTCGTCGGAGCTTTGTTACCACTGGAGAAACCCAGGGATGTCCTTCTTCAGTCATGCAGACTGTGAGGAAAAGCACAGAGAGAGCTTGGAGACCTGGCCACAGCATGTGGTCTCTGTGGACAGCCACAAACAACCTAGCTGTTTTGGGTTTCTAGGGCTTTGGAAAATTGTCTATGAAAAGACAACTGTCTTTCTTTTTTAGACCATGTTAAAGGGCAAAAATTGCACACAGGGTGAAAGTGATAGATACTAAACAAAAGTAACCCTGACTTTCACAGTGGTGAGAGCTGAGTGCATACCATAAGGGTCCATTTTGGGAGTCATGCTCAGTTCAGGAACAGGAGAGAACCGGGGAAAAGGAAGTGCCATTGCCAAGCCCCATAGCATAGAGCTGGGGAGAAAGATTTCCTCTTAGCAGCCTGCAGCCAGAAAGGAAGTAAGCACTGTGGCTCTAGAGGATAAGCACTGGCCTGTGAACCACAAGGTTGGTGTTTCAAGCCCACCAGTGGCTCTACAGGAGAAAGATGAGGATTTCTGCTCCAACAAAGATTTACAACCTCAGAAATCCTATACAAGGTCAGTATGAGTCAGAACCTACTCAACAGAACTCAATAATAGGATAGGAGTTCTGGTCTGGCTCTATAGGACAAGCATTGGATGGCTAATTTGGAAGACAACTATCTGGCCAACTGATTGGAAGAGATCCATATTTGTGCCCATTCCAAAGAGAAGTGACCCAATGGAATGCGGAAATCATTGGACAATCTCTTTGCTATCCCATGAGAGTAAAGTTTTGCTAAAG